TTGAACTTTTCTTTTCTCCAGATTCCTCTATTCACGGAAGCGTTATGTTTCTTCCCTAAACGGTAGGATTCTTTCTTTCGCCCGTTGAAGATTTTGAACATTTCCCATGCTGTGTTCGTTTAGGCTGGATTTTTAGTTGTCATGTTGTTTTCTTAGATATGTACCTCAACCGCATTTAGCTTTAGTTGTCGGCATCGTAAGCGTCTCCCATCTTAGGCCTTTACTATGAATTCTTCTAGTCCTCTAACGTAAACGCAATCTTAGTGTGTCTCCACACAGTGGTTAATTTAGAGCTATGTAGTTAAAACCGACAAAAGAGTCCCCAGATATATTGACCCAAGCCTGCGTACGATCTGGTGGCTCTGGCAAGGCAGTGTTGAGATCCCAGTGAGCAAGCTCACTAAGACAGCAATGAGATAGCTTCAGCACCCCACACACTGGGTCCATCTGCCTGTGGCTTCGGACGGTATGGCAGCCCTCGAAATACGAAGAAATCGCGGATCAGCAAAGCATCAAGTCGAAACTGTTTCGACTGCTTTATTTCTGCGGTTGTCAACTTTCTGCAAACCATCTAAACCACAGTTGAACTTATTGACCAAGACTAAATCTTTCGAGGTTTTCCTTCCCATTCATTATTGCTATGCGAGGTTTCTGCACGTCCTGCCGAAAAAGAAAGCGGATGCTAGCTGCTTTTTCTCCAAATCGTGCAGAATCTTGTAGAAAAAGCAGCTTGCACTCTTTTCCTTTTTCTAGCACTTCCCGATTTACATCAACTTGTTTTGTACAACTCGGCCATTAATTCATTCAAGATAATTATCATTTTTGGTGGAACGTTCTCGCCTGATTGATGTCTTAGCGATAGAAAAAGAAGGAAGTGCTTGGAGCTTCTTATACTGTATTGGCGCAGTAAAGAGGAACTGGGAGCTTCTAGTGCTTTGGAGAAAAAGAAATCACTATGAGCACCTGTTCATTGAGAATTCTATGCAAAACTTGCACGAAACACACTTGTCTATTTAATTGTTTACTATTTATTACCGGGCTAAATATTTGTCAGTGCAATGCCATCAAAGTAATGAGCAAGGTAAGACACTGTATGTACATACCCTGTAATGCACCTGAACACTTGAATTGACGGCTTGGGAAAGAAGCAGTGACACCTCTCAAAATTCTAGGGAAATGATCAGAATGCCACCCATCTGTGGAACGGGTACCTACAGAAGTCGCTAACTGTCTATGAATGCTTACCGGATGCTGGTGAGAGGAACAAAAATGTTATAATGACGAGGACGGCAGGCAGCCTGATCAACTTGCCCCGGCTATACTCGAGCAGGCCAAGGTAGAAAGCCCCGGAGGTGCGAATAAGAACTCGTCTCCGACATGAATATTTACTGGTGTGCATGAATGTTTCATAAATTGCAAGAGAGTTAGACAATTTTCATGGGTTTTCTCCTGATCAATCGACAGAAAGCCTAAAAAGCCAGAAAGGATAGGCGAACGTCGATTTGTGAGTGGCCTAGGCTATTCAGGGGTGCCAAATCTTTGCTATCTTGACTGTTTCTTGAAAACAATCCCACAGAAATGTTCCAATATCCTCCCATCAGAGCTTATCACCAGTTTTTTTTACTCAACTGTGAATAAATACTTCATCGCATGTGAAATATATGTACATGGTCATTGCCTATAGAAGTACTCACGGTTTCCAGTAAATGTTCAAATGCTTCCATCCTCCCGAATGGATATGTTACCGATCAACCGACCCCGTAGGGAAGTAAAGCTCAGTTGGCCTGGGCGAGTACTGGGCTGCATGCGATAGTGAGCCACTTGACACCATCCTACATCTCCATAATCAGAAATCACCGATTTTTAGCAGATACTGACATTGATACACTGATACTTTCTGATAGTGGGCGTGTCTCACCGTTCATAAGAAAGAGGTTACTATGGTAACAGAGCACATGGGCGAACTTATGGCAGGTTTGAACAGCAATGTACAAGTCTGCCCCCTTACCCTCATTCACAATGTAGATCCACCCTCAATAAGAGTGAGATTTATTCGATCTATTCGTGCGCAGTACGACACTTTGACGATTCAAACCGGGCATATTGTCAAGATGATGCTCCTGGCTGCAGATCAGAAATTGACTAGAAATTCCGTAAAAGGGGTTCCCAGACTTCATAACCTTCGATCAGTGACCACTCTGGAGCCGTGACCTTAATCCCAAGGGTGTTCAGTGTGGTCAGCCTTTGAGATGAAAGCATCCTTTAGCCCAAACATGAAGTGAAATAATCTCGAAAATGCTTAGCAAAAAGCAGGGACCATTTCGATGACCCTAGCTGCGTGCCACCGTCAATGACGTCCATCATCGTCTCTGGGGTTGGGTGAAAGCAGAACGCAACAGAACCCAGTCTCAAAGTATTATTTTGATAAGAGATTAGTGATAGACACTTTTATGAAATTGGTTTGCTTTTTTAGCTTTCTATTCGTTTTCGGGGATGTGATGTCTGTGTAACCATAATTTTGGCCCACCCTGTAGAAGTAGGCGATGACAATGCCAGTACTGCCTGTGGCGAATCTTTTCGAGTTTTTCCAGTCGAAAGTTATCCAAACTAGGGTCAACCTTCAATTTTCTTAGTGGCTACGGTTGGTTGTCTTTTTGATTGTTCAAGACTGAGGCAAATTGATTTCCTAGAGGAGGACATCGAAGTGAAGTTCAGTACAGTTTTGGCATCGTGGTCGATGGCAGTTCCGTCTTGATTTCATAGTACGTTGCGGTCTTTTTTGAGACATTTCGGTTACCCTTATATGGTTTGTGCGAACATAAGCAATTGATGTCTGTGGTCTGTTTCCAGACTGTAAAACTAGCAAATTTTTATTCGTCATAGAACTCTTTTTTAAATAAATATTCTGCAGCTTCAGAGCTGGTTGATCGTTCAGACATGAGGAAGACCGAGGCTTGCGAGATGTTTCTGAGCTTCCTCATTGAATTTGGTGGCAATCGCCTCGAATGCAGCCTTCTGTTCAGCAGTCAATGGTTTTCCACGGCCCTCGAGGAAGTCTTCAAAGCAAGTCCAGAAATCCTAAATGGGTAGATTGTATTGAAATCATGGAGAAGATTCAATCTGTGGCTTTAACCTTCCACTGCTTGGGATCAATTTCCTTCGTAGTGTGTCGGTTCATCAGATCACGAACGTATGCTCGGAAGACCATGTCCTGGAAATGGGAAATTTCATTTGTAATCAAAGCGGAACGGAAGGCTGAGGTTACATTGTCATAGGTGTTGGCGAGAACGTGGACTCCAGTGAGCAGATTGGCCCCCTGTTTGACGAATCTGTAATTGTACAATTGAATTTCTACAATGAAGTTGCTGCTCTGACCGGAGTCCTCACCTGTCGGTATTCTGGACGTCATCAGCAGTGAAGCTTTCAGCACCTTTGAAATATTTGCGAGTTTCTGGATGGTGAGTGAAAAAGCTGAAATGACACTTAATAGCCTTCGAAAGTGCCTGAAATTTCAGACGTCTCAAATGAACCAGAGGTATCCTTCCTAACTTACTGCTTATAGAAGTCCTTGCCGTTTTGGATTTTGTCAGGAGTCGTGCCGACTGGAACGCTTTCCAATGCTGCCACAGCATTCTTTTTGACTTCTTCTGGAGATGTCCTGCAAGGCTCAAAGTAAATGCACCGAAAGCTTTCTGTCTTTCGGAAAATCTCTATTGTTTTCAATCTCTTCTTCTCTCTTTAGGTAGACTTGGGAAGATAGGCAGGCAACTTACGCGGTTGCAAAGGCGACGATGGTTGCGAGGGTAACAATAAGAAGCTGCATCCCTAGAGAAGTCCAATTATAAAAAAATACTAAGTTTTCAATAACGTCTCAACAGTTCAAGGACCTGATGGGATAAGCTGCACCATGTCGGGAGGAAGGAGATTGGGAAGAATTGATACGGGCTGATAGAGTGTGAAAGAATGGAAGATTTCAGTGAGCGCTAAACATAGGTAAGAATTGGTCGAGTTAAGAACTGGGAAGGAAAGGCTGAGCTTCGGCCACGTTTTTTGATAGAAGAATCTGCTACACACCCCAGGCCAGAATCGTGGAGTAAAGAAGGGTTTGAGGACTGCACAGGAACCATCTAATTCGCTTGAATAAGAGCCTTAATATTCGCTAGGACTAGGGTTTGAAATGAAAGCTGGCTGAACACACGATACTGAGGCGAACTGGTGCCTGGGTTTGTCCCTCAGGCTTTTATACTGTTCAATGAAGGTGGCTAATTAAAGATCATTTTTTGCAATGCTTTGATTCTCACGTTTGCTTCAATGAATGATGGTCTAGCTTATGCAAGAGAAAGCTATTCTCGTGAGCATACGCACATTCTTCAAAAGTACGGGCGCGGAGGCTGTTAGAGTCAAAGGGTAACCTTTGGTCAAAAACATTCCAGAACAAGCCGTAGCAAATGTCAGAATCATGAGTTTTCTGCAAACGCCGGACTGTCATTTATCGAAGCAAACGTGAGGGTTGCGGGATTACGGTGGGGATAGAGATTGGACGAGTTTCAGTTTCTGCTAGCACCACCAACAATTGCAAAGTTGTTCTTAACTTTTCTAAAGTTTGCCTAGCCTCGCAGGCGATCAACCCAGAATTCAATTCCGCGGCACTGCGTACGGGAATGCAGCACTTAGCGCTACATCACAGAAACAGGCTTTCTGGAGTAAATCTCGTCCATTATAAAAGGAACAAGGTCTTTATGATGAAGCTCAAAGCCATTGCCATTCGCTCATATGGGTACAAGCAAAGCCCATAGCTTTTCCTTTCAATCATACTTTTCTGAGAGCAGCGTTGCCCAGTCTTCCACTTCTACCCCACTTATTCATCAGGAGAGCGGCTACGTAGTCTCATAGGCATACCCAAGAAGTTGTGCCATCTATTCTTCACTTTTGCTTATAGTACGGCGTTGTGAATTTTGACTTGTATTAATTACCACACAATAATATCTGGCGCTCAAGCGCCATAGCTCATGATGAGTCCCCAGGTGTGTTAAGAAACAACTGTAATATCCAATGGACATTTTTCGAGAAAACAAAAAACTTGGACACAAAGCACAAACAAACAAAACGCAAAACAACACCACACAGAACTGTTCTAGTTGGTGCCACAAAAATTGCAAGACATAAGCACATATAGCGGGAGGGTGGGCAATACAGTACGTTAGAGGATTGCATTTCTAAAAGTTCTTGCGTGGGGAACGGGTGCAATGAAATATGACGAATGGTTAAAGTTCTGGTGGAGGATTTGACATCTGGATACTCGCCAGATGATAGGTTAACTTTTGGTTCGCATCGTCTTTTTTTCACATAACCATCCTCGCTGGGTTATATCTACGAGGAAGATTGTCATATGCGCCTTCATGGAAATCGTCCACTAAGACAACTTCAGTAACTTGATACCTTGATCGGCATTTACAAAATGGCTTCTGGTTGGAGGTATTAACGACTAGCCATAACAGGTACACATGCCTTAAAAACCTGAAACTGAGGATTTATCAAGTATAGGATCAAATGTGGCTTTTCAGGATGAATTCAGCCTCTTTCTGCGTGAGCCGTTTTTTAGAAGGATAGTTTGTTGGAACGTTACAACTGAGTGAGTTTCAGAATTTCGGCGGGCCTTTTGTTAAAGAAAGCCTCTCTAGATAGAGGCCCTCCGTACATCATCCCATGATAGAAAACACCTCTATTTCCCTCTATTTCTTCTTGTAATTTGATCCATGAAGAGTATGCCTTCAGAACTTCATAGATAGGTCATAGGTACTTTACTCAGCAGTCGAACACGAAGAACGCTCATATTTGCTAACAGTTTTAGTCCATTGTAACACTGAACGGCTTCATTGAAGAGGAACATGATGATGATTGCTGCTATGAATAGGGCAAAAGGACAATGTTCTTCGACATAAACAACTTTAAAACGCAACAGCT